AAAAAAAAAAAAAAAAAAAAGTAAGGAGCATGAGTTCAGTTTCAGAAGCATTCTCAGTCATGTGGATGTTCCACAGTTTCGCAGGGAGAGAAGGCACAGGAGTGCTGTAAAGCAGGTGTTGCTGTTAAAGGAGCCGTTTTCACCCTCTGTCTCACTATAATCAACTCCCAACCGTCCGCTCTTATGGGCGAAGGTAATAGGGTGGTCATCCAGAAAAATTATGTCTGGCCCTAGAATATACCACCTGTATCTTGCCCCCAACTTCTCCTTGGCACTGTCTGTAGTGCTGTGAGGCAGAGGGGTTAAGCCTGTCTTGTGGACAGTTCACAGTCTGATAACGTGCTGTATTTTTTACTGGATAGAGTGTCTTCATATGAGCTGGCTCAGGGCAAGCTCTTTGAGCCACACCTTCTTATTGTATTAATCACTTCTAGCTTGAGCTGTGCTACTTAGAACACAAGTTTCATAGCAGTTACTTATTCATGTTCTTGTTTACTGTTTTCATATTCCCGCTTGGACCGTTAACTCCTTGTTCACATGTCTTTTGAGTGCTGAGCTTGTAAATTCTTATTGGTTGGCTGATGCCTCTTATTTTCTCCCCTAACCCTGTATACCTCACCCTCTTCCCGCTCGTCTTCTCTCCCCCTTTCCTCTTGACCTTCTGCCAACCAGCATTACCGTTTACGTTTTTTTTCAGATTCTGCCATCGAGATTGAACTGGAGCTCTTTGTAAATAAGACCACAGCTACGAAGCTCAACTCAGGTGAAGACAAAATCGAGGACATTCTGGTTTTACACTTGGACAGGGGAAAGGATTACTTTTTGTCTGTGTCTGGGAACTACCTGCCCAGCTGTTTTGGATCGCCCATTCACACGTTGTGCTACATGAAGGAGCCAATCTTGGACCTGCCGCTAGAAAGTATTAGAGAGCTGGTGAGTTACCTGCCACAAGGAAACATCCAGAACTGTGTAGCAGCCAAGCCAATCAAACAAGATACTCCCGTGCCTACCTTCCCAGGGACCTGAGGATTCTTTAGCCTCCATGGAGTTTGCTTACTATAGAGCTGTGTACTGCTGTTTAACAGACTCCCTGACATTTTTAGTGGTTTAAAACAGCAGCAAGTTATTGCTTCTCGTGACTGCGAGTTTCCGGTGTGGCTCTTGTACTCGTCTCGCCCAGGCTCATTTGTGTGGTTGCAGTCAGATGGCAGCTGTGATGGCCAGAGGGTTCAAGGAGGCCTCCTTCACTTTCTTGGTGTTGGCTGCTCACTGGGCCTCTCCCTCAACATGGGCTCTCGTCATTCAGTAGGTTGGCCTGGGCTTCCCTAAGTGGTAGCAAGAGTTTGAGAGCAGAAGGTGTAAGGCTCCTTGTGGCCCAGGCTCCAAAACTCGCATGGTACCACTTCTGTCATGTTTTATGTGTTGGAACAAGTTGTGAGGTCAGCCCATATTCCGGATGGGGAAAGACTCTACCTCTTGATGGGAAAAGCTGCAAAATGTTATTGCCATGTTTTTCGGTCTTTCATAATAACATATTAGAGAAACTCAGCCGTAGATACTAAGATGATGGAATGTCCCAGGCCCATGATATTATTCCTTTTTCTGTTTTAATCATCACTTGGTTTATCATCCTAAACTAAATTTTCTGAGATCTAAAAGGCTCCTATGTAGACTTAACAGATATTGAACACAAACTTATGGTTACCAAAGGGGAAACATGGCAGGGAGGGATAAATCAGGAGCTTGGGATTAACTTACACACACTACTATATATAAGATAGATAACCAACAAGGACCTACTGTATAACACAGGGAACTCTGCTCAATATTCTGTGGTAACCTATATGAGAAAAGAATCTGAAAAAGAATGAACATATTGGGAATTCCCTGTTGGTTCAGTGGTTAGGACTCAGCACTTTCACTGCTGAGGGCCCAGGTTCGATCCCTGGTGGGGGAACTGAGATCCCACAGGCTGCGTGGTGTGGCCAAAAAAAAAAAAAGAATGGATATGTGTATATGTATAACTGAACTACTTTGCTGTACACCAGAAACTAATACAACATTGTAAATCAACTATACTCCAATAAAATTTTAAAAATAAATAAATAAAAGGCTCCTCTGGAGACAATTCTAACACAAGGGAGCTAGTTTGGAGCAGATTTTTGGCAATAGGTATGCTTTCCTTTTTCCTCCATTGCATTTTTTTAAATTCAGGGACTCTTGAACTCTGTCCTCTCCATTATATAGATGAAAACAGAGGCCCAGTGAGGGGAGTGATTTGTCATGGGTCCCTGGCGAGTTAACCCTGGACCTGGACCTTGCTTTTGGGTTTTTGTATTCCCACATCTGTGTTCTTTTTTCACCAGACCACACCATTTTTCTGGTTCGGACAGTGAAGTGCTATAGGCAGGATGTTTTTCTAAGATGATGCATGTTTCACCTGATTGAAACTGCTTGCCATAAGCCACTCCCAGTTCTCAAAAGTCACCCTTTGTACCTTGATCATGTCACCTGATTTCATTTTTGCCTGCTGAATGTTTGCTTAGGGACATCAAAACGCTTCCAAGTTCTTCCATGGGTTTGCTGTCTCCATGTCCTGCGTTCTCCTGAAGCCAGCCTGGCAGAAGCTCTATTGGTGGCTCTTCTGATCATGCTTTTTATTTCTTCTCAGACTCTGATGCAACTTCAGACTGAAGACGGTGGGAGCCAGTTGGAAAGACCCATGGACATCCCCAAAGAGCTCTTGATGATGGTTGATCACCTGTACCGAAATGCCATCCAGCAGGTAGGTGGATGAAGCAGGCACACCTGGCAGAGGCCATGCTGCTTTGAGAAAAACCATCAGCCCTGAGAACTTTGGGCATAAAAAGCTTTTCCCCTGCAGAACCTGTGGAAAGCTCTTCTTACCCCGGGGAGTGAAAGTCAGTAGGTTCACGTTCCACACCCCTGTGAGGCCCCACTGTTACATACAGCACTTGATTCCTCCCAGGGGAGGCAGCCTCACATAGCAGGGCCTTCCCAGCACAGCATGTTCCCTCCTGGTCCTCTGGGGTCCCCCAGGTGGAAAGCCCTCTGGAGCCTTCTCAGGATGTCCGGCTGCTCTCCTTTGTGGAAACTCTTGCCAGCTTCTAGAAATGGGAGGGGTGGCTAACTTGTTGACAAGCCAGACAGGCAGGGGACCAGTGGAACCCCTGGGGCCATGACTCAGGAAGCCTGATTTCTAGAGTGGGTTGGGCAAGCTTTTTGAGATTAGATTGGTCAGTTTCACTGACTCACTTATCTGGGTCCCAGGGAGATAAATAGAAACTCTGATCTACCACAGCTCTGCCACTTCAGAGCAACATACATTCTTAGGATGCTCTCTCTCCACTTTTCCCCCTTAGATTTATTGAGAGTTACAATGTCCCAAACACTGTTCTAAGTGTTTTACAGCACTACCTTATTTAGTTCTCACAGTAGTACTCAGATGAGGAAACAGATTCCCAGAAATGTTAAGTAACTTGATCAGGGTCCCAAAGCTAACAGATGGGCAGGATCGGGATTTGAACCCAGCGAGTCTATAGAAGTCACATTCTTTTTTTTTTTTTTTTTTACTTATTTATTTATTTTTGGCTGCGTTGGGTCTTCGTTGCTGAGCTTGGGCTTTCTCTAGTTGCGGCGAGCGGGGGCTACTCTTTGTTGCGGTGTGCGGGCTTCTCATGATGGTGGCTTCTCATTGTGAAGCACGGGCTCTAGGTGCTTAGGCTTCAGTAGTTGCGGTGTGCGGGCTTCTCATGATGGTGGCTTCTCGTTGTGAAGCACGGGCTCTAGGTGCTTAGGCTTCAGTAGTTGCGGTGTGCAGGCTTCAGTAGTTGTGGCTTATGGGCTCTAGAGCGCAGGCTCAGTAGTTGTGGCGCACGGGCTTAGTTGCTCCGCCGCTTGTGGGATCTTCCCGGACCAGGGCTCTAACTCGTGTCCCCTGCATTGGCAGGTGGATTCTTAACCACTGCGCGCCACCTGGGGAAGCCCAAAGTCACATTCTTAAGAACTATGCTAGTCTACCTTCTCTACAGAGCTCCTTTCAGGTGTAACTTTTGAGCAATACATATAATATTGTTATTGTTCACGGTTATAGGACATTAAGTTATTTTATAAAACAAACAAATATAAGGGATCCTAGGACTCATAGAAATACTTTATTGCCATAATCTCGTTTTCTCAAAGCACTGAGGTGCCTTGTTAACCTTCTCCATCTTATAAATGATATATTTTCTTCAGTTTTTTCTCTTTCTGGTCAATACCTCCATAACACTGCAGGAAACGTAGCTACTTTAAAGTTTTCCCTTCGGTTGGATCACCAGAGATCAAGCCCACACCCCCTGCAGTGGAAACACGGTGTCCTAACCACTGGACCGCCAGGGAATTCTCTTATAATAGATGTCTTGTGCTGAAGACCTATTGTGGGAGCGTGGCTGGGAAGGCCTGCAAGGTGAATTAGCCACATCAGCCTACATCACATTGTCTAGTGGGGTGATGCAAAGGCCTCACCGTGCTGCCCCCTTTTGTACCCTGCTGGTGATTATATTTCTAGGTCAGGAAATCATTGCTGCTTTTCTGAAAATAGAATTACTTTGTGACTTTCTTCCCTTTTTCAGGAAGATCTGTTTCAGCAGCCAGGCCTGAGGTTGGAATTTGAGCATATCAGGGACTGTTTGGATACTGGAATGATTGATACCCTCTGTATCCTTTAGACGTTCATGCGCGCACGCGTGTATGTGTGTGTGAATATGAGAAAGAGAGGTGAGCAAAAGAAAAGGATGGTATTTTAAGGCTCAAAATCAGATATTGTGTCCTCAGCTGTTATGTTTTTCTTACTTAAAGTTTGTATGGAGAAGACTTTACAACTTTAAGCAACCAATATATAGCAGGAATTCAGGAGGGCCCGGCAAAGCTGACAGGCAGCTTGGCTCCTTCAAGATGTCAGCCCGGCATCCTAGCTCCAAGCAGAGAGCCTGGCTGGGTAGGCAGCACTCTGGCACATGCTGGCTCCTGGGGCTTTTCCTAACCATGACCATGGCAGCGGCATCCCCTATTCCTTAACGATGGGCCCAAAGCTGCTAGCAATCACTCCATAGCCGAAGCCCTGCTGCTTTTCCTGGAGAGCCTGCCAGAGCCCGTCATCTGTTACAGTGTCTACCACAACTGCTTGGAGTGTTCTGGCAACCTCACAGCAAGTAAACAGGTGAGGGGAAGCGTGGAGCATCAGCGCGTTCATGTTGCAGCCCGGGTCTCATTGCGCCTGAGGGAACAAAGTGGGCACCATCCCCCAAATTCAGTGTCTTAGAAACTCGACTCCAAGTCTTTCCTTCCCAAACCCGCTCTTC